AATCATTAATTATAAGTGTTAATTCATATGCGAAATATGTAAATCCATCAGAATGAATGAAATCAGGATTTCAAACTACGCTTCAGAAGGTCGCACGGGACCCTTACTTCGCTCTTCATATTTCACTATCCAAGGGTGTCTCATAACCTTCTCTAGCGGTATCCTAGCAGCCGGAGTATATTGTAGGAGCTAGATAATTCAAATTAGCGATGATGGGATTAGACTTCAAGTAACGAACCTTCTTAATAAGGTCTGCAGCCTCTGGAGATACGTGATCAGGAATGGTGAAATCCACTCTCGCGATACGCCGATGAGTGGCTTTCGCTCCGCTCATCTCTTCAAATGGTGGAGAGCCTACAAGAAACTCGAAGCACAATACCCCAAGTGCCCACAAGTCTACAGCGGCCGTATGGGGTTTATGCTCGACCATCTCTGGCGGCAAGTAATCCAGTGTTCCACAGAGAGTTGTTCTTCTATTTGAAGGAGCGTGAACTGACCATCCAAAGTCACCTGATAAACCGATTTAGCTCATGAGCAAAGAAACCATACCAATACATTTCTCACCTATTTTGAGTTCACCAGAGATTCCTACGAGAAGGTTTTCTGGCTTTATATCACGATGTATAACATGCTTTCCATGCAGATAATGTAGAGCATCTGCCATTTGGGCGATGTACTTATGGGTAATCAATAACTATGTTCGGGCCAGTTAAAAAGGAGGATCTCACTCTACTGGACCTTCGTTCTGTGAATCTTCCCTTTTTTACCAATTGCTTGTAAAGTTCTCCTTTGGCGGCGAATTCCAGCATAAGAAATATTCGCTTCGAGTCGTGGAAATATCCATACATCCGAAGAATATTGGGATGTCTAGAGTTCGGGGACGCATTATCAGAGACAGGTAGTCATAACGAATCTGTGCATACCTTAAATTTTGCTGGATTTCTATTTCTCGTCGAATCTGCTTCTCCACACCACTTTCCACTATTTCGCTTTTATATAGACATTTAAGGGCCAGGATATAATGTGGTTCTGTTTTTGTTCGAACCATGTAAACCCGACCGAACTTCCCTTTACCGAGGGGCCGCCCCATTTCGAACGATGAAAGCCGCCACTCTCGTGTAGGATACAGTGCCGTCCTGTTCAGTCACTGTTAGCGGTCTGTTCCAATGACCGAATATTAAGAAATAATTAAAGAATCACCTCGAGGTGGATGAATCGAGTGCTAATTGTTCTGCTGCTTCACCATCTACCTCTGCTCCCCTACCGCCGTCCATCTCGCTTTCAAAACCTCCATCGTATGTTCCTATATCCGCGAGAGTCGGAGGAGCCCCTCGAACAGTACTAGATGTAGCCTTTGTGGAATCCTGCTCCGCGCTCGACGTCTTGTTTGCTGTGGCATTTGATGTTGTCGCCGTATTCGTAGCCGAAGTTAGTGTCGATGCTGAGCTCTTGTTGCTCAGAAGCTTGAGAGTAGTCCCTGGGGGTGCCCGTGTAGAGGTAGACGCGCTACCCTGATATTTTGATGCTAGTTTTGAGGATGTTGCGCTACCGGATGAGGTGGTGTCTTGTTTTATTGTTAACTCGGATAGTTTGTCTGCTAAATTGGCCACATTAGCCATCGTAGAGATTATCCAACACGATAGTGGAGAGCAAGTAACGATCACGTGCTGAAGCGGAGTTTGAAATCCTGATTTCATTCATTCTGATGGATTTACATATTTCGCATATGAATTAACACTTATAATTAATGATT